TATGTATCTGATTCGGGTAAAATATACAGGGTGTTCCATTTAAATTAAATCAGTTATTGCCTTTTAAAGCTAATAATTATTTAAAATAAGTTTTTGGACACTCTGTATAAGGTAGTATAATTTTTATTATTGCAACGCAATAACTAATCGATAGATAATTTTCAGTAAATATTTAGTATTAAAAACTTTGATATCCTTGGAGAAATGAAGCCTTAAATTTTTTACTCCAATTTCACAAAATTGAAAATATTTCAAAAACGGTAAGGTTACCTTTATTTCAATCGTAGAATCTAAAAATAGAATAATATACAGGGTGTCCCATTTAAAAAATACAACTATAATATTTTTTACTTATTTGGGACACTCTGTATCTTGTAAAATTATTTTTAAATTGTAGCTCTAATAGTCCTTCAACAAAACCAAAACTTACAATTTGTAAAAATCTAATCGTTCAGCTACAATACTCCGTGTCGTATGTGGTGAACAACCCTGTATAAGATAAGTTGTACGCATCTTTCGATAGCGTAGATTTCTGCTTGAAGGATGCTGGGGGCCCATTGGTTCGGAGTATTTCGTTTTCGGCCCAAATACTCCTCTTGGTTTCGGAAGTACACCTGGTATGGTTTTTGCTGAGTGGCTTTTTGTTTTGCGTTATGGTACATGCTGAGCAAACGTTTCTCCCTTCCAATCCTTTTTATCGCTCAATACTAGAGTGAGCTGTTTCTCAAAGTTGTACATTTTTGGAATGTCATTCACTGGGAGTGGAATTTCCTTTTTGAAGGTGTTCCACGTCCTTGACCTGAGAATTATCTCAGTATACTATTTCCGTCAATGATCATTCTAATCATTTTGACATTGACATATCTACCGACGACAATGTGCAGTGGTGTTAGGTCTAAAATGACCTCCATTGCTGTTGGGCATGTTCTCATGACACCTGTGATGCAGATGCATGCCTGACTCTATACTTTGTACAGGTTTTGCCTTGTTGTACGTTCTTCTAGTTTTGTGTACCCAGCATAGCTAATCATGGGTCTTACTATCATGGTATACAATCAGCGCAAAATATTAGGGGTGCAGCCCCATCTAGTTGCTTATATTAATAAGTTTCTGCATATCAAGAGAGCTTTTGTAGCTTTGCTGTTAATGTTCTTAACATACATATTCGTGAGAAGTTTACTGTCCAGAGTTATTCTCAGATATTTGACTTCCTGTGATGGCAGTATTTTCTATTATTTATATTCTTTTTTTTATTTATATTTTTAAACTAAATATGTTAACATACTAAAGTTTGATCATGAGTAAGTGTACATACTCTATAACTTATATTTTTAATTTATCTTTGCAGTTCTTTTAGTATGATCGAAAAAAAAACGGCATCCAGTTGATGGTATGACGATCGATGACATTTCCCACATAAATTTACATATAAAATGACAGCCATCATTCCATAGCCATCGCTGACGCCGTTTTTTTCTCGATTATACGGTATTATTATAATGGCGAGAAATTTTCTATTCGCTTGAAGCCGGTCGTTTCAATAACTTGGTGGAAACAATATTTCAAATTATTATTTTATGAAAACTAAATAATTAATAACTATATATTTAACCATTATAAATATTAAGATTAAAGTTTCTATAAAAATAATAATAGCAGTAAAAAGATTTAAAGTGATGAGTGGAAAAGTGAAACTGCTGACCTTATTAACTCTTATTGTTGATGTTAATGATATGAGAGGCAACGAAGTAATGCTATTAACCATATGGTAAAATAGTTATAATAAATGAGTATAAATGAATGGTAGTATTAATTTAAAATAAGAGTATTTATAAATCTTTTAGTGGGTTAAATAAAGACAAGTAGGTCTTTGTAAAAAGTGTTAATACATTTATTAAACATATAGAATAATAGAGATATCGTGCAGCCATCGTTATAATTTCCTGCAAAACTTATCGTTTGCAATAAAAACGTATTATCAATATAATGTACACTCACGACATTCAACACTCACCGGCACGAAAAACGCTCATCTTAAAATTCAATATACCTATATGTATACACATAATATAGATTTTTTAAAGATTAATATATTTTGTTCTAGTGGGCCGATTTTGATTATTTTTAAGCAGTTTGTAGCTAAATTATTTGACTTTTTAGTCACCATCTATCTGTGAATTATACGAGGGGAAACAAAATGTTAATATAGTGGAGTACGTTAACTAAGCAAAAATCACTCTATCATCTAGGTATATCTTTCCTCAATAGTTAATTTGTTGATTCATCTCAATAGGTTTATTTTTTTTGGAGATATTCGCTTTTGAAGAAGACACTAACATTTTTTCGTATTTTTTTACATTAAGACAATACCCTTGTTTTTGATCATAATCAAGAAACCTCTAAAATAGTGTTTATGATTTATGTAATGTCACTGTCTTTGAAAAATCATATTATTAGTCTGTTGGGCAGTTACTCTAGCAGATATAGTTTTAAGTCCAAAAGTTGATATCTGCCATGCAATAGTAAGCAGCAATAGCCGATACTTAAGAACTTAAAACCATCTCTAATAGAGTAATATTATAAATCTTTTATCTATGACTAGAGTAAACGTCAATAAATAATAATAGTATGACTTTTCAATGACTGACATTAAAAAAACAATAAACACTATTTTATAAGTGTGGTGATGAGGATCCAAAATCATTGCTAAAATTGCTGTAAATGTAATCGTTATTGCCTTATTCCCAAGATAGTATCTCCAATGAAAATAAAGCTATTGCGATGAGTCACAAAACAAGCTGTCGAGAAAAGACGTACCTATGTAGGTAATATAATGATTTTTAAAATCATTGTTTTATTAATATATTCCACAGGGTGTTTCAAACTTTCATCAAAATATTAACATTTTGTTTTCTGTCGTATAATTGACAGATGGAAACTTTCATTTTTAATTTAGAAAGAGATACTAAAAAGTCAAATAATTTAGCTACAAATTGCTTAAAAAATCATCAAAATCGGCCCACTAGAACAAAATATATTATAGTTTAAAATCCACCAAAATTTTAAGGTGTCCGTTTTTCGTGCCGGGAGTGTATATGCATGATGAGATGAGATACTGATAAGTTCTAGAAAAAATTAAAAGACGCTTTACAATCCAATCCAATATCCAATGTAAATAAATGTAGTTCTAAAGCATCTGTGGGTGTTAATAACGACCTTTGATTATTCAAAAAATAACATACCACATAACATAAATCTTAGTAAAATATACAAAATATTTCATATTTAGAACTTTTGTAGATATTTTGGTTTTATCTCATTAGGTAACTGTTACTTTGAAGTTTGAAATTTGTGAACGGTTCATTAAAACGTCAACAGTTTTAACAGACTGTCAAATAATAATAGTTTTGGTTCTTTTAAAAGTGTTATATTTATTATTTTTATTTTATTTTGCGCCTTCTGATGAATGGATATAGGGTGTCAAGGGCGTATAGGGTGTCCTAGGCTGATCATTGTTTTACAATGAGATCTATCAATTAAAAATATTTTCAATATGGCGGCACTTCCGGGAATGCCGGAAGTTGACAGCAACTTTCTTATTTTAAATGGGTGTCCCCATTTTTATTACATACCTAAATTCTCTGTAAAACTTTATGAATTTTGATATGAAACACTCTATATCTAACCGTTTTTGAGAAAAAAAATATTTAATTTTTTTTTTCTCAAAAAATTGCATGTCAAAACAATGTGTAACTAAAGTACGTCTGCTGGATCTGTGTCTATGAAAGGAATGCGGACAAAAAACATTTAAATAAATAGCAATATATTTTATACGTCGACTTGACGAGTACGTCACCGCAAATCGCTCCGCCCACACATTTTATTGGCTACTTGCAAATTTGTCGAATTTTTATTGATGGGACGCGTCGTCTAATTTTTTACGAAAAACATCGAGTTAGAATATCGTTTCCCCTCTCACGGATACCGCGTAGCTAAAAAACGGACAGACGTACTGTACAGCCACTGGGACATAAAGAGAAGACATGTGGCTCTCTATTTCAAAAATAAAATTGTTTAAATGTCATAAAACATTGGCCGTAGCTGTCATGGAATTGAGAGATTAAAAAATTATCATAGAAAGTTGTTTCAATTTCCCTATACCGGGTGCGTCTCAAAAGTGGCTCACCCCTATAACTTTTTTATTTTTTAAGATAAAACGATATTTGGTATGTTAGTATATGACATAAATTGGGATTGATTGACGTATTCAATTCTTTTCGGTCACTTCCGGTTTCACCGGAAATAACTACAACTTTTGATTTTTAAATGGCGCCCTCAGTATTTTTTTACTTTATTCGATAGAAAATGACACTCTGAATCGAATGACATATCATATGTCAACTTTTGACATTTTAGCATATGGTTTATTTGAAATTGTAACATGCGGTTCATAACGACAATTTGACTCAAAATACCAAGTGTGTAGTATCAAATTATTCGTAAAAAAATGCGTTTTCCAAATATGCTAATGAGCCACCCTCGTTCCATTCGAAAAAATTGAGATATGATTAAAAATACGATTTAGGCGTCTTTTAACCGGTCAGGACAAGACACTAAAAACATTAGACGATCAAATTTATTTTTCCAAGGCTCCTTGATTAAAAATTAGTGTTTTTAACACAGCCATGGCACTCTGAGTCCATTTCACGATGAGGGAAATAATCATAAGTAAATAATTCTTTTCAAATGGAAACCCACTTTTTTATTTCACTAGTGAAAAGGTCTTTTAATTCGTTACTTTTTGATTATTCATGTTCCTATACCTAAAATAAATCGTTTTTCAGTTTTTATTATATTATTGAAAACAAATTTAACAGCAATTTCATGAATAAAACCAAATTTGAATGTGTTAATTAGGTATGTTAGTTTTCGCAGTTTAGTTATGTTTTCTGGAAGCCAGATTATGATAATGAAAATAATATTAAATATAGTATAATTACTTGGATTATTTGGTGGAACAAATCCATATCCAGATGCACCTACAACTACACCACTAGTTTCACCATTATCAGGCGGGGCCGGAGGAAATACAACTGGACCTGGGTTCTGTCTAGGATCTCTAACTGCTACCAGAGGACTATCGAGGCCGAAACTTCCAAAAGAATTAAACCCAAAACTTCCAAACTGTGCATAGGTTAAAGATACTGCCCAGGCTAGACATAATAGGTATATTGTCTACAATAAAAAAAAGTTACATTAGCAACATTATATTAAATATGTTTAAATCAAATAAGTACTTATAATACATTATATAGCATATTTTTTGTTTTGCTTGATACATTATTTATAGCATACTGTAATTAATTTTTAACATTGAAAATGTTTCTGTTATCCTATATAAGGGAGCCCAAATCGAATTAAAATGCTACATTTGCCACACCATGACGTCATATATACAAGGGTATAGGAAATCTCGGCGCAGCGGCGGCAGTCGGCCAGCGCGCGCAAAAACTATTACATCGCTAATTGTTTATTGATATATCTTTATTAGTTTAAAAGCAAAAAATATGGGGTTTGCTTTGATACCTTGTCAAGACATAAGCGAAACTTTTAAATTGGTTCTTTTTTTCATTTAGGCCTTCGTTTTTCTTTAAATGAAAGTTATATTAAAAAAAATCTATTTTTAAACCAAATTTTCGCATGATTGAAATGATTATTCATGTTTAAAGTTTTTTTTGGTCATAAGCGCTAATGGAAATGTTTTTTGTAAATAATTATAAAAAATTACTCCCTACGAAGACTTTATTGTGTACTGGATCAAAAAATAAGTATTTGTTTTCTCTATATGGTGGTATTAATATATCGATTTTTGATGATAGTGCCTTTTTACCCGGTCTAATTTTGTACTACTTTCGGAATAAGGGTCCCCATATCATGTACTGTACTTCCATCCCTGAAAAATTCAGCTTGTGACACCGAAGTGAGAGGTAACGTCAAAATAAGCTTTAATCTACCTACATCATAGGTAGGTGTAGGTACTCTAGGTATATTCTACCTAGACAGTAGCTGAACTAGCTGACAGTAGTAATTAATTTGTTATCCGATAAGTAGTTGTCATTATATAAGTTTAATCATCTTATACCTCCTATAACGGTAGGTTTTGGATTTTTCCTGATTGGTTTGTTAAACAAAAATATACTGGGCATATAAATGTCTGTTACAGGTTAATTCGTTAAAGAAATATGTTACACACATATTATTTTAATAATAATAGTATAATAGTAATGGCTATATTATGTTATAACACATACATATGTATTGAATGTACTTATTTTAACCAATGCATTGTTTTGTTTTTTTAATCTCACAAATAAGAAATGTTTTATAGTTTTTATTATAAAAAACAGTGATTATACAATTTATTTACACCCCTTACACTGTTTTCTGTAAGGGGTGTAACCAGGAGTATATTTCGTAACCTCTTACGATATAAGAGGGCACAAAGTGTTTTATTACTTAATGCTTAAAATTTAATAATATATTTGTACATAAAATAAAATAGACTAGAAAGTCAATTAATTAATATTGACGTAATTACTAAATAAGTACAAGATTTTTTTTCTAATTATTTTAGTGTATTTTTAGTCACCTAATTATAAAGGAGAGATATCCAACCATTGCATTATTTTACTCACAAATAAATGTTTTATGGTTTTTATTATAAAACAACGATTAATTTATTATACACCCCTTAACCCAAACACTCCAAGGAGGATATTTCGTGACCCCTTATTTAAAGTGGACAAGCTTTATTAGTCAATGTTTTAATTACCCAGCGTCTTTAATAAAAATCTAATGTAATTTTTCATAGAAATGATCTGACATAAAAAGCAAATTTTATCAAAAAACTTTTTGATTATCTACAAGGAGTAAACCGCTGACAAATGTCTGTATACTAATGCCAAAGTAATGCCAAAAATACAAATTAAATACCAAAATTTCTCATATAATGCCCCACTAATGCCAAGCTGATTCCAATATAATACCACTAATACCACGAATAATATGTAACACATTTGTTTCACGAATTAACCTGTAACAATACTGGTAGGTACGTGCACAGATTTTTTCCTAGGTAACTTAAAAGTCGTTAAAAAGTCTAATTATATTTAAAGAAGATATAATTCCAACAAATTACATTATAAGGCCAATAATGCACAAGTAATACCATTAAAATTTTAGCGTTTTTAACTTGTGTAACATATTTCTTTAACGAATTAACCTGTAACAATAGTGGTAGGTACGCGCACAGATTTTTTCGCTAGGTAACTTATTAAGTCGTTAAACAGGCCTATAAAAGCTATAACAACATAGGTAACTAATATTTATAATTTAATTCGAGTTTTAATCTCAAATAATAAATGTTTTTACTGGTGTATTTCTGAAGTGTTCATTATTAAAAGTAGATATTCTTCAAGTTATGCGAAGTAATAAGTAATGTTTCCGGTGAGACCGCGTATATGTCACCGGATTCTGGTTAGTATAAAGACTTTTTCTATAGAAAGAGTTTTTTCTATATTTTCCTTTCAAAATAAGACTAATTTCTTCTTATTCTTTTAAATATTACAGTGTTTCTTTTTCCTAAAATGTTATACTTAATTTTCGCTTAAAATTAAAAAATCACAAATGGAGGAAAATATACGTTATTGAATAAAGTTTATACAAATCACTTTACCATAACAAAAAAGTAAAAACATGTCATGGCGGAAGATATTCAGGTGGCATTTCACACATTTATCTATTAAAATCGAGATTAAAATAATAAACTTGCGTAACATGTTATACACGAGATAGAAAGTTTCAGAATCGATTAATACGCAATACGCTACGCAGTCAACTTATTCCTATGCGCGGATGAGCGTCTTCAAGACTCTTCCTTCGGCCAGGGTCACGACGCCGCCGAAGAGGAATCGGCCTACGTTTGGCTAAACAGGCTGGACACGGTGGAGTACGATATTGGCGAGTCTGAATATTTATAAAAATTTGCAAAGTAAAATATGTTGGAAAAATAATTAGTCCATACATATATAAAAGCTCAAAGGGTTTTTTTGTTGCATCCATCCCGCCGAAAGCGCTTTACCAATCTTGATGATTCTTTTTTTAAATGAAAGGTATATATGTGTAGATTTGTTATGAAGTATTTTTATAGTGCTTAATGGCTATTTCTTTGTGTAAAACGACTAAATACTAAAACATACCTGAAAACACCTACACACAATACCTCCAGAAATAAATTAGTTGTCATTGTCAGTGGTGTGTCAGTTAGATTATATATTACGTTTTTAGATATTTTAGAGTGAGTTGATGCCGCCAGCTTTAGATACATAAATATTAGCACAAAGGTTCGTTTAAACGACATTAGTGAATTAGCTACACAAAGCGATTTTAGGAAATTCATCCTCTTAGAGAGTAAAATTATCTCGGAACAGTTTGTTGTATGAAAATTCCTTACTATTTCGTCTAGAAGAATGAAATCCTACAAAAAGAATTAGAAGAAATTTTTGAAATTCATCAACCAAATGGGTAAAGTTAGTAAAAATTTATATAAAACTTGGTGACGTCTGGATTATACACATAAAAATTGGCACAAAGGTAAAGCGAATTTATGAAATTTATACCCTTAGGGAGTAAAATAGGGAATGAAAGTTTGCTGTACGAAAATGCAATACTATAACATTATAAACCAGACAGTATAAAATTTTATACAAGGGTTTATTTAGTGACATCATAACGAAATATATCTTCCTCAATTATCCTTCAAAGAATAAAAAATAACCTATAAAGAGAGTATTAGTGCTCTTAATAAATAAAAAAAAGATGAAAAATAAAAAACATCTATATGCTCACTAGCTCTCTATAAAGAAGTAAAAAATCATTTAAATCAATGCATAAACGATTCGAGGTGTAACGCGAACGTAGTCGCGAGAAAAAGCTAGTAATTTATTAAATTATTTTATTTAACTCATTAATTTTCATTGAAAAGGAATTTTTGTAATTCGCCACTATATTAGTTAAAAACTAAGAAACTCATATCAAATTTAAGTTTTGCGATTTTGGCTTATACGTTTTACAAAATCTGAACACATTTTAAAAGAAAAAAAGTTTTTGATAATATTTGCGTAGATTGACTACAAGTTGTATAACATAAATTTCTACGACCGGTCTACCTAGTGGTCTGCAGCATCGCCTTGTGGTGCAAACGTGGGCATGTTAATCTGTGACGTGACGCACAACAGCCAAGAAAAACAGAAGCGTGGCTAAGAATTTAGTAATTTAAAAAAAGTCTGTTAGATACAGTAGTAGGTATTAAAAAGTTTTGTGTTTAAATGGGGTTTGCCTTTAACAGTTAAAAAATTATATCGTAAAGTGTAACTTTCCGTAAGAATTCTTTATCTGTCATTGATCATGATCTGTCATCATGTTAACCTGATGTTTTGTATGTTATTTTGTTTTTTTCGAGATATTTTTGCTTGCTTGTTTTACGGATAGGTGCGATCGCATAATTATTATTGATAGTGTTTTATTTAATGTTAACACTACTACTTTTTCAGTGAATCTTTAAATCTGTTGTTTTTTGTTAAGTTCGTTATTTAAACATATGTATGTAATACACTCATATTAACACTAATCATATTTTTAAGTTTTTATTCATCATTTTCAATGCCCCCCCGGTTGCATCTTTGTAAAGGACTGTGAATTTTTTCTAATTTTTTCTTGGTTTTAGGACAGGTAAACAAAGAGAAAAACGTTTTTTTATAAATTACATTGACGTTTCGACCTGGTAGGGTCTTTATCAAAATTTATTACATGAAAGTAAATTTCGGCGCATTTTTTCAGTTTTTAGCTTAATTTTTATTGTTTTCTTTTATAATTTTATCATTTTCATTCTCAGTGAAGAAAATAATCCAATATTGATATCCAACACACATAACATAAAACATCTCGATATAGTCGTCACAATTTTTGTAAAGAGAACGTAGACACACACATTGAAATGGATTTTACAAAACTGATGTGTTGTTTCAGTTTAAAAAAAGTCAGATAAAAAATATATATTGAGAGGTCAAAGAAAAGAATAAAAAAACTGCAATTAATTAAGTAATTAAATTTAGTTTCGCAAAGTAAACATCGATTTTGCAGCCCGTATCCCCTATAACTTTTTTATTTAAAAAAAA